GAGAAAGAGAGCGATAGAAAGAAAGAGAATAAGCAACCGGAACACGAGATAGCTCGAGACGCAGAGAAAGCGAGACAACGAAGAAAGAGGAACGGCTCACGGAAGTACGGTGGAGAGTAAGGGGAAATGAAAGAGTTACGCTCCAGGTCGAGGCCTGGCGTGTCGGCGAAACATTATCCCGCTAAGAAAGACAATACACCCGGAGTACAATATTATAATAGGCCGGAGCGTAAATGTATTATAGAGAACGATCGGTAGCCCGGGCATAGAAACTCGTCCATGGTCCCTATACCACTCCCTCCTCCCCTTTTGCGCCACCTACTCCTCCTTCTTCTCTTCTCTCTCCGTGTATCCTATTAACTGTTACCCTCTTCCCGCTCGGCTCGGAACAGGGGCGGATCATCGCAACGATATACCGTCGTGATATGTCTCCGGTTAATACGTCCCACGTTCCTAAATTTCGTCGCCGGTCCACGAGAGAGTTGGTCTCCATGTCGAAATTTTTTCATACGCTTATGATCGGGGTGCAAAATCAATTCACTTAGTAACAGTCGCGCGCGAGTTCGAGCTTCTTCTCTCTTTTATTTTTCGTCGTGTGACTTTTACTTTGGGGGAGATCTGTCCGAACGGTTTCACCGGGAATCTGACCGTAAATGAGAAACGCGAATGTTTCGTCGAGAATTTCACGAATTCGACCGGCCCTGATCCTCGTCTCCCCCCTTTCTTTCTCCCTCTCGTTGCTCCTAGCCACTTTTACGTGGCGCCCGGTCTCCGTATTTATCCATAGTTTAGCGATACAAGAGTTGAATATCGTGCAACACGATACAACCCCCTTTTCTACCGCCTTGCGGATCTTCCTCGCGCCGGTATCTTCCGACCTCCTTCCAACTCACCTCCGGGGCCTTTCCGTCATCCCTCTGCCGCGTTCTCTCCGGACCCTCCTCCACCCCCCCCCCCTCTTCTTAATTGCCCCGGCGCGCGGCTCGGTAAAAACTCGTTAGCCATTAGATTTATTTTCTCTCGCCACGGAGATTCATCCCTCTCTCTCGTCGCTGTGCTAAAAACCGCGCGGTAGTCGCATCACGTTTAAACGCTGTATTTTTTTTTTTTTCTTTCCATGCGCGATTCCACGTCGGTCGCGTACGGATTGATCGTCTGCGATAAATGTAAATCTGTTTGCGCTGGGGATGGAGATGGTTTTACCCGCTTATCGCGCCGTATTTTCGCCCAACACGGGGGCGCTAATTAATTACCGTGTTCGCGGTATTTATACGCGGTGTTTTTTTTAATTTCTTCCGCGAGAGCGTGCACACACGGACGGTACGGACGGTACACACTCCTGAAAATCTAAACCTATGACTGACGATTTAATGGTATCACATTAATTCAAATTGATCTCCATTTCATGCTGGTCTCTTTGTCGCAGTGTTCGAAGTACCCATGGCAACGATTAAAGGTAAAACGATCGGGTCAATATATGGGAAAGCCTATGGGAATTCCTTTCGGCTGTAATTTCAATTCGTTTCGCGGCGGTGTTTATGTGTGCGCTAGTCGCATCTGTAAAATTGTGGTCTCTGATTTTCATCACGATGATCCATTCGTGCGAAACACACACGCACGTTATATTACACGTTATATTAAACACACACACACACACACACACACACACACACACACACACACACACACACACTCTAC